TCATACAATGCTACGCTACACTACGCACGCTACACACCTACAAATAATGCAGACAAAGAGAAGAAGGAGGAATTCTGTAGACAACTGCAATCAGTAACAGTTAGTAACATCAAAATTCATTCTAATGGGTGGAGTGACATGTCCCAATGACAAACTCGGAGAGGACAACACAGGGAGAAAGAGAACTGTTCGTGCGTCGAGAAGCACTGGGTGAAATGCAGAATGAGAATGGAGAAATGTTTGCACATTTCTCCACATTCAACGATATGGTGATTGGAGGCGACGCAGTGTGTACAAACACAAGGATATTCACAAGGTAGCGAGCAACATGGATTTCACCAGACACCAACACACACTACACTGAAAATCAGATCGACTTGATCTCAGTGTGAGGAAAGTGGAGATGTAGTCAGCCGAGTGGAGAAGAGATGAGATGAAGAAGGGAGGTAGTGGAGCAGATAGATGTAGGTTCACACCACTCACCACTATCTAGTGCAATGAACCTACTTTCAAAATCAAGTTGAAATCCTTCAAAAAAGCTGGTGATAGACCACAGTTGACGTTCAACATCCAGAAACAGAAGGAAGAAACTACAAAAGATTTATTAAAGCCAGCCATCAGGACAAAACGGGAGACATTGAACAACATTCCTGTAGGAAAACTGTTTGGAAGAACAGTGGAACTATGTGAAAGAGCTGTGGAAAGAAACCTGCATAACTGTATTAGGAAGGAGGAGGAAACAAAACAGGCAGCGATAACGGGACTTCAGTTGAATGTAGAGAAGACAGGCGTGATGAAGATACCCAACCGACAACAGCATTAACAACAAGCACCAATCACCATAAACGGTAGAAAACTAAAAGAAGTTGTCTCGTTCACCTACCTAGGCAACATTGTTTCAACTACAGGCGGCACAGGCACAAATAAGGATGTTAAAGCCAGTATCGGAAAGAAAGCAAGACAGGCCTTCATTAACCTGAAATCAGTGTGGAGATCTACTGCACTCAGCATAAAGAACAAGATCCAGATTTTCAACACCAACTTCAGTCAAGTCATTGTTTCTATATGGTCCAGAAACTTGACGGGTCACGAATAGCACTTCCAACAAACTACAGACATTCATCAACACCCGCCCACCACCTACGCTCACTCAATACCGACACTGAAGATCAGATGGCCAGAATAATAAGGATAGGAATAAGCAACAAGGAAGTGTGGCTGGCTAGCAGCGAACCAATTAACCATCAACCCAACAAATATGCAGAAGAGAGTGGAGATGGATTATATTTGGCATACACTGAGAAGAGCATTTGAGGACATCACGTGCAGGTCAGGCCGTTGAGTGGACGCCAAAGGGGAAACGATGAGTTTGGCGTCCGAGGGTAACATGGAGGAGATGGTGTGAGGAAGAAATGAAAGGTTGTTGGGAGTGGTGGAGCTAGGTTGAAAAAACTTCAGAGAAGATAGTGTAATGGAGAGGTGTTAGTAAAGCCCTATGTTCCACTAGGAGCCCAAGTGACAAATAATAATCATCCGAAAAACCTTGCTGACCAGTAATAATAAGCTCAGAGCCTGAGTTCATAGCATCCTGCTGACAGCACAAGCTAGTTTGCACCATACATTATCTTAGAAACTTTTAGTGACCAACACATCTGTCGTGTTCTTATCCAGGAACTGAAGGTCAGTGCAGACCTTGTCTACACCACTATCGTTTTTGACAGCCACAAAATGCATGCCAAAAACGTTAAAATTTTTGTTTACTTTGTTCAGCGTTTATGTGTTTTTTTAGCGTAGTCACCTAAAAGGTTTTATAGTTAATAGTTCTCTCCAAGCAGTGAATGGATACCAGAGAGGCAACAGTGAGGGTGTACATTCCCAGGGATCACCATTCGTTGTTGATAAGTCAAATGATAAGCCACCGTGAGCCTTCATACATCCAGTTCACTTCTAGCAGGAACCTTGGTGAGTATAATGTCGTAGATCTGTACTCCTCTCCACAATCAAAAATGGCCACAGTATCTTGCAGAAGATGGAGTGGAATTCCAACTGCAGGTCATAAAAGTTAAACATCTCGGGACTATTAATTTTATTTCTGCTTCAAATTTAAACTCTAATTTACTTCTGAAACATAGCTATTTTAATTCAGTTTTCTCAAGTTTCAATCAGATCTCAGATCATTATGAACCCAAAAACAGAAGACTTTTTATTAGTCAAATTCATTCCAGTGGGTGGTACATGTTTATTCAACTTCTATATGAATGAAAAATAACTGTACTATAATTTTAAGTTGTTATCAAAGAGTTTGATATAGCCATTGTTCACGATTATGCCTGAGTAATTGTGAACACAAACAACTTTAAATTTGGGAAGAAACTAAACTTTTTATGAAGATTTTCAACTTATAGACGATCTTTCTAACGTATGTTACTACTATGGGGATCTATAGTCGTCATCTGAGGTTTGGACTTTGACAGAATTCAAATTAGACAAGAGCTTTGGAAAAACTGAACGAAGAAGGGAACTACCTTATCAAAATAGCAAGTGACAAAACATACTGAAAGCTTTACAAGCATAGTTCAAAACAAAACTTAAATAACAATGCAAGCTGTGATTTTCAAAGTTGTTCATACAATCTTCTAATATTATTAGTATTGAAAACCCATTGGATTTGTCACTAGAATGTCGTTTCCTTTATGGAAGAATATACGAGATGGCTAACTGAACAGAAGAATGATGACAAACATCTTAAACAGCAGGATGTGAAGCATAGTTGAGTATTTTAAATAACCCAGCTCAGAGAACACAATACAACCAAGACATCCACCTGAGCTACAAACATTCTCCATCATGGTAAAATTCACATTCTTATTTAATCCGCATATTTTCACCATCTAATTATGACGAGTTGTTGATCCACTCTAATCAACTGGAAATAGTGATTTGGTGCCCCATCATAACTGGTATAACTTGAAAAGGGCTCTCATTTCCCAAAATGACTGGCCAAATGCTAAGTAAGAGAAAAAGATGAGTTCATAGGATACTAATGGAAAAGTAAAACTGAAACATATTACGGGTTGTTGGTATACTTGTAGTTCTCTGCTGTTATAATGGATTGAATCGTTCGACCTCTGTTGGCATATAGGCTTTTATGCTGATAACTTGATATTGGCTAAATATTTACTATTATGATTTACTAAGAGGGCGTTATCGTGCCTCAATGGCGTAGTGGATAACGCTTTGGCGTTTGAAGCGATGGGTACTAGGTCCGAGTCTCAGTGGGAATAACACCACTCACTGGAGTGCAAGTACATCCGGTTGACGAATCCCAAACGGGACGGAACGCGCGTCCCGGGTTCTACTGCAGCTGCAACCAACTGAGCTATACGTGGCAGGATTATGCAACCCTTCAATTTCATAAGCATAATATCGTTGTAGCGAATAAGCAATAACAGAGAATCGAAACAATTGTGGAACACACAGAACTAGTGTTACATACTGAAAACAGTGCCGGACTAATAACAAAAATTATTGTTCCTGATTCTGTTGTAACCCAACTGTTCCTTTAGCTGGTAGACATGTCAAGTAAAACTTAAGTGGTATGTCCTTATTTATATCTTAATTAGTTGGCACTTTCTTATTCCTAAACTTAACTAACAATTTCAAGTCTTCTTGCTGTTTTTACATAATCCCTTTTTACCTTAGTTACCAATTTCTCATTCTCCTCCATACTAACGATTATTTAGTCACTTAATTAGGAGTTTCAAAATTCTTGATTTCAATTTACAACTAATTACTCAACTTATGAAATATTTCCATATTTCTTACATAACTTAACTTGTATTCCTACATTATTCCCCAGTTCACAATCTACTAACTGACGAAAACTGATAATTTTTCCAATAAACAGATATGCTGAGTATATTTAAATGTGATTATTCAGTATCTGAAGATGATATCGATGGGAACAAACATATTCACTGATATCTTTCTTCTTTTATGACTCAATAGGATTGTAAGTCTTTGAAAATGATTTCATGAAAACTGAAAAATCATTGACTGGTTGTCGTGTGTCATTTTAGAATCCTATCAAAGTGTTTTTCGTAATTCTTTCTTATAGAAGTGACTTTTGAATCAGCTTGCTCTCTGACTTGATTACAAATCAATAGCAAATGCAATTAAATGTTAACAAAGTAACCTCATTTTAATTTACTCTCATCTAAAATCTAAAAGTCAGATAGAAGTATTCATAGTTTTTTGAGTTCAACATTCAGAAAGTAAAATGACCTTGGTATTGTTTCCCTTCATTCACTATGCTGTTTTCCTCTAGATTTGTTTGACAAAATGTATAGGTGTATCATGTTACTAAAAACAAATTGAAAGAGGAACAATGCTTGGATTATGTTTTGCACAGTGACCTCATATCTTCCCAGTACATTACTGTTAAATAAAATGAATATATTGACTATCATTTCAATACTATAAAATCAATTAAAAATTTATGAATGAATAACAGGATCCTACGAAAAATAATTTTACGTTTCTCTGTTAACTGAAATCCGTATCTTCTCAGTTCATCTTGCACACCAGAAAGTGTTGTCTCCAAAATGGAAAACTGTGAGCCGAAACCTAATGTCATCATCATCAGGAAGAATAGTACAGACCAGAAGCTCGAAAATGGCATATTTGTGATTGCTTCAGGGTAGACGACGAAGGCAAGTCCAGGACCTCGAAAAATGTATAGTACGGAATAAATCACAGAACATTTTCTTCCTAAATATTTCCTACAACGAGAATTCTGGGTGGTCAACGCAAGCAATATTCATCTGTACCACTTGCATAGAATGTAAGCAAAGTTTTCTAGCATCACTGCTTTTGCATCTCAAAATAAACCGTTTTGGTCCAGTTACAGACAAAAACAATCTTAATAGTGAATAGAAAAGAAACACAGCTAATCACTTCGTCCACCTCATTGATTTTAATTGCTTCATGTTGTATCTCACTTCCTTACGAAGCGAAGATATCGAACATAAACTTCATAATACTGTATCATCTCTAGCACCCTTGAAATATCTGATTATCTGTTAAAGGAATAAAGTTTAGCAAGATATTCACTCTGCCATAGTCTACTGCTGTGATGCTTGACCTGTAAAGAAGTACAACACAAAAACATTTCAAACTTTCAATCAAAGACGCCATGATTCTTCTGTTCGTATGTCATGAAACCACATACAGTGATGCTAATTTTAGGTTTACGGTCAGCCACCTCAGTTACAAAATTATAAACAGTTATTCTTCATGTCTCCTCTCATTTGTTTTTGGTGTGCTTCAATTTGATTTTATTTATTCTAATGTAAAGTGCAATAACTTGAACTTACGAAGCGTTCCACTTTGATTTGTCTTAAATAGATAGATAGATAAATAGATAAAAACTAGGTTTTACTTGATATATTCTTTGGGGAACACGTATTACATTTTCAATTAATCTTCGATGTTACACTGATATTTGAACAAGTAAACGTTATTCAACAGATTATCTATTATATCTGTACTACCAAACGATTAAGTACTTTACCCATTTGAACAAGCAAGTAAGCACTACTGCCTAAATTCTAACATAAATGATATTTTTTCCAAGTTCTCAAACTTCAAAAAAACAGGTCAACTTCAAATGATAATAAAGTAGAAAAGTAGATGAAAATGGTTAAACAAGATACAAGTAGATGAAGAGTGATAGTATTTCTGGAATCTGAAAGTCTGGGTCAGTGGACGTATACCTTGACGTATGACTTCGAACAACAGTGACCATTCAATTAAATAGCAAACTCCGCATGCCGTTAATTGTTTCAACCAGTTTCAATATAATTTTGTTTTAGTAGTCGTCTCCAGATACAGTCTAATTTAACAATTATGAGTACACAATTTAGGTAATGCACATTTTAATGATTCAGACTCAGATATTTTTGAAACATATTCACTTGTACACTACTTGATACTTGGGAAATAAATAATTCCTGTGACACGTGCACCACAGGTAAAGGTGCTTCAGAGCTGGCTGTAAACCACCTCAATCTAATAAAAAGCAGACTTCATCTGTCTCAAAATAATATTCCTTTGAGGATAAGCATCAAATATGCCTGATATCCAAATTATCAAAATGTAGGAGACTCCTGGTTTCCATTATTTGTTATAAATGGGTGTTCAGCATAGTGATTGTTTCAGTTATACATATTGTGGCTAAAATCACTATTCTCGACAAAATCTATGAGAATAACAAGCAGTTGTAGAGGAAGCATGAAATGGAACTGTTTACAAATTTTTTTATAGGCCTATGAACAGAAAAACAGCTTTTGAAAGAAGTCATGAACACACCTACCCCCAGATGCAACTGCAGCAACTGTAGTATTCTTTTTGTAGGCCATAAAGCCTAAGTTTGCGAATATAATAAAACCAGCATATACAGAGGTTAAGCAATTGATCACGGCAACTATGACAGCGTCTCTACGAAATAAAGATGAAATTAACAAAAAACAGATAATTAGAAACAGAGTAAACCATAGTTACGAAGGTGATGATGATTGACCTGAGTTTTGGTTTGGTTCCTCAAAGTCAAGTCTGTGCATCAAAAGTAGGTAGATTTCATGGAGCTTGCCTCAATACATCACACCTAATGAGGTCTATGTCTTTGACAGTTTTCCGTCTTTTGGTTTACTGGTTGACGAAGGAAGATGAGTAATTATGAATATCTGTTTGTCAATGTTTTACTTGAATGATTTGGAAATATTATTTCTCGCAACATTTTTTCCTTAACATTCATCCGACTATATGTGAGCTTACAGAAAAGCAACCCTTGAATAACACTAACAAGTTAAATGTAAGATCATAAACTATCACACGACAGTAACCGAAGTTATTTGCTACCCTCTATTGCAAACAATTGGCGTTTGACTAAAACAAAGTTGATGGGCTGTCAGAGCGTATTTGATATATCCTACTGTAGGCAGTTGGTAGGGGAATGCAAACACATTTTAACGCCTATTAGTGGGTACAGAACGCCTATGGCATTGTACGCTGCATCTACATCAAATTTCAACAGGAGAAGACGTTGATTTGACTGAAAGTACTTCTAAAACCTTTGAAATGTGAACAAACAAAGTTCTATTGATATATTTACAGAGAAGTTGTGGCTTTCACCAATTTACACTGAATGGCTGCTGAAAGGAAAGTCAAATCAAAAAATCTCCCGAATAGCGAAAGTGTTCTGATCAAGTATAAATGTTTTAAGCAGCTTTGAGATTTTTAAATATCTGAGATGGAGACTGTTTACTTCTTCAGCATTACTGAAAACCAAAAAATTAGAATAAACTCCTAGTTTTAAGCTTTAATCTCTTATGGTTTGCAGCTACAGTCAGATATGTTGCAACTAAGATGACAATGATAAAAGTAATAAACAGTTTATTGCAAACATGATGTTTGACACTATAAAATTCCCAGCCTGTAATATTTCAAATAATGTGCTTGCTGTACAATATTTCCACATGAATTTATTATAGCATATCAATAATATTAGTAATAGCTACAATAAAGGCAATAATATGGAATAACCATCCTTTTTTATCCCCTGTTCTGAAGACAACGTGAAAAGAAAAAGCGTTTACGTTTGGTGATGGTGGTGGCGATAGCTCATTCAACCGGTACAAAAGTATGTTATTCTAGCTAGCTATTTCAGGAATAGTAATGTGATGTTTTTTCTTCATTTTACCGTCAATATCCAAAACGATTTGTTTAAAGCATTCAAAAAGTGGATGACAGTACAAATGACGATCTGATGACATTTTAAAAATTAAAACAAGTTAAAGGGAGCAAATCCATGTAATATACTTAGTGGATAATGTTCGGTAACCTGAAATAATCTTGACTGCCTAATCAACCCATTACCATACATACCTGCAACAGTTATTCTTGAATTTATTATAGCTTGAAACCGTAATCAAACCACCATTGCAGCAGCCAAGAGAGAAAAAAATTTGCGTAGCTGCGTCTGACCACACTTTTGGATCTGCTAACCGTGAAAAATCCGGCGTCAGATAGTAAAGTACACCAGTTCCAGAACCCGGTAATAACGCACCTCGTACAAGTAGAATAGTTAGCATGACATATGGAAATAAACCAGTAAAGTAAGAGACCTACAGTAGCAAATAAGAATTAAAACTCAGAGAAAATGCCGTAATTAACGTATTAAAACATTTACTGTTTAATCTCACTATATCACACGAGATTAAATAAAAAACCAAAGAGATTAAATGAATACAAGAGAAAAAAATAACGAAACCACGCTTCTTAAAAACCTTTGCAAGATAAGAGGAATAATTCATACAAGAATGAGAATGGATATCTAAATCAAATGATTTTCGCTCTGTACATGGAGACGATATATGAGTTCTTCTACGTCAAACCATAGTGCTTAAAGTCAACATTAACTGTTTTGAGTATTCTCTTAGACTGCAATCAAAAGGTAGAAATTCTTAGTTAGCGCTTGAGGATTAAGTTTTTGTTTTACTTTTTTAATCTCATCGCCAGTTCACATTTTTTCTAAGTCATTATTGTATAAAATAGCATTTTCATCTAGTAAACAGACAAAAGCCACTAAATGAAATGTAATTCAGTTTACCAAATAAAAGACAACCTATCCAATGGTTGTATGCTGCTTATGTCAATGTTCAGTGCTTGAATTCGTTGTACAGTTTAACCGGCTGACTTCGGTCAAGTGAACAGCTGAAACCTAAATTTACAATTTCGAAAAAACATTCAAAATTATGAATGCAACTTTATATATTGATTTCGTGACTTCCTAATTTTAAATGATAATTATGATGCACAGTGAAATGCAAATGAACATCAAGCTGCGTTTTTAAAACTGTAGCTGTGGAAAATTAAAAGAAGTCACCGAAGAGTTGTAAACTTTAGTCTTTATAACCAAACAATCTAATGCAATCAGACACCCAATTAAAGGTTTTATTGGGAAAATGTAAATTACTTTGTTTGTGCACATATGACAACAACTTGGATGGCTACTACCGCTGACCAGTAGCTGCAACCTTGACGTGGTGGTCAAGCTTGTATTTCAGAATAACTCAGAAGACTACACTGGTAGGAACGCGTGTTCTCTCAAGGTCCCATTCAGCTAAAAAGGTCTGCTGGATATAGATAAGATGAAAAGTAGTTACCACTGTAGCTTAAATTGCTATACTGTTAAAGATGTACTCCTGGTTGGTGTGCTGTGACAGCCGTAGAATGTTTCCCTTGGATGCTCAACAGTATCATGCGGATGCTTTCTTTCCAACAGGAATGGGGGATTTAAAAAGTTTGCCTAAAAAATAGTGCGCGCCTCCCTGGTACAAGGTCTTCCGGTGACAGCATTTTGCTTACCCGCAGAAACGACTACCATAGTGTGAGCGCCTGAGAAGTGTTAACCACCCGAACGCTTTCAGAAGTATATAAACTCCAATCAAGCATAACCTTTGCCTCCTCCTTTGATCTCACATCCTAATACCAATATTCAGCCTCCTACAACTTCCTCAACCTCTCACTAAGCGACCACTGCCAGCTGTAAAAGCCGTCGGAACTTCATTCATAGTCTTCTGAAACCCTGCTCTCAGTTCTATATCAGAGATTCCAATGTCCGAATCCTAAGCAAAATCAGATAGCAGGCATCGTTCACTGGAACTCTGGAATCTCTAGCCATGGGTCCATGCTATGTATCTGAGACACGTATACAGGACCCGAGTACGGTTATTCGTTGACCTCACCCCGTCACTATAGTGAATCTTTGAAATTTACGAGTATCCGGAGAAACAACGGCTAGCTGTTGTGAACTGGGTGGTGCAGGCATAGAAATTGAGTTGTAGATTAGAGAATGTATTCCTCTACTGGTTACCATCCATCGGCCATTTATATGCTGTTCGACTAAAAGGATCTGTAAACGCTATGAAAGATAGTGAAAGTAGCCGATGCCTACTCGTAATATCCGCCTCCATGCCCACTGACTACAATTCAGATCATGCAAAGGATGAACTCTATGGGAAGCTGTCAATGTAGCTACAGAAAGGAAAACAGTCAGATGCATCTGGAATAGCAGGTGACCTGAACGCTCAAGTAGGGAAGCCGAGTCGGTCAGAAAGGTATATTGGGGGTATCTACGGAATCCCATGCCAACAAACTGACAACGGTGACCACTTCTTGCAAACTTGTTCTAACAGTCACTTGTTTCCCATTAGCACTGACTTCAACCGTAAGCACAGAGAGACTGCCCACCGACATCAAGACAACGATGAAAATAGGTAGGTCATAATGCCATAAGCCATCTTTGGAGAAGATAGTTGGGGATTGCTGCTCTTCCTGGAATACCAGTTTGGACTAAGATCACGCATTCGTACAGGATCGTGTATATCTATGCCTTACTAGTCGATGGTAGATTGGAAGACGAAAACATCAGATGTTAGCTGAGTATTTATCTGGGCATGAGACCAATGCTCTAAGGAAACCTGGCATGACATTAAGCGTGCCGTAGAAACAGCGACAGAGACAGTTTGTAACCTACATCTAAAATGGTTAGCGAACGTCAATGAATTTCTGCATCCTCATCATCAATAACGTACTCTAGGGCTACTGCAGCAACCACTGAAATAAGCAACTGGTTTTCTAATTTCGGTTGAAAGGTAGTTTTTTCATACAATGAAAAAACTTAATTGGTCATCTCAGTAGTTGTTAGGGTGGCTTTTAATTTCACTCCCACTACTTATGGCCTATGCTTTAAACTTTCCCCACCTTTTATTTAATTGTCAATCGTTCCATTATATCCAATATATTTTACAAATAATTTTCGCTATTTCATCTTTATACACCTTAAGTATTTTTGGCATCACTAGAACTGACACTTTGCTTTTTACATTCTTGTTAAATGGTGAAAGTATTTCATTCATTTACTGATCATTAAGAAAACTGCACTGTTAACCGTAGTTACAACAGACGCCTTAGTTTACAACCAAGTGAGATAATTTGATTGGTTCGATATCTGTATAACAGAAAACATACATGATGACTAGAGGAAAAACTTGGAGCTTAAGTGACAATGAGATGTGGTTACTAGGTGGTTCGGCGGAAAAAAGCAGTTGATAACCTACAGGTTACTAGTTCTAGCTAACCTGGGAATTAAATCAGAAATTCTGTTAAGATGAAAATCATTGAAACTATTAAGTATCACACATTACTTACTTTACCCAGCGACTGGACCCCTTTTATAACAGCAAGTGCACATATACCCCAAGAACATAAAAGTAGCAGTGCTAATTCCCAATTCGGTAGACCAAAATCATCAAAACCAGAGGATATTTGTAGAACTCGATTGCTTATTACAAAATAAAACAAAATAACAAAATCGTTTATATTCGTTAGGAAAAAGACCTGAATAAACATTTGACGAAATAGTAATGAACGTTTTGATGATATAATGAATGATAGATAGTATTCATAGGTTATATTTATCTGAGTATTAGTTTATTTGAAGTAAACAAATTCAACGTCTCACCTAACAATCTCGTTTCAGCTTCTCAACGATCATGTAATCTCTTACCTTGTTCAGTCTTTCTTATATATTGTCATGATTTTCGATAAAGGTACAGGTGGTTCATAATATCCACTGAATTTACAGGACAACAAAGGATAGGTAGATAGAAATTTCAACATCTTAAATAAACCGAATGCCATGCATCAGGCTCGTTGTCACCAGTTATTAAGTCATAAGTGAAAGAGCTGACGTTCTCAGTTACTTCCATCCTACTATTGTTTGCACTGCGTCATTCATCAAAAGTAACACAGCAAATGCATACTATTGTATGATAAGACAGTTTCTTTATCTAAAGAATAATTTATTTCATAACTTTTTTCTCATGTCTTGCAGCTATATATCCATAGTTTTTAGGTACAAAAATCAGTAATACTCCAAGAAATTTTATGAAACAAACATATGGAATCATTTAATCAGAAAAACCACTTTATTACAAGTGCAAGTAGACGACAATCTTCAAATCTCAAATGTTCATAGATTTTGTGAATGTAGTATGGAGTAATAAACTGAAGTTTAAAAGACTGAACAGTCAGAAAGATTTGAATAAGAAACTAGGAAATAAACTGGCTAAATCATTTGAGAAAATGAGTAGTAAATCACACTACCAAGTGTACTTGATGCGTTGGAATTCACAAGTACTCACTTATCGAGACTATATACCTTGCCTAAAATGTATAAACCAGGAGAATTGTTAAAAACAATCAATGATGAATAAAATTTGGCCTACCATTCTCTAGCAAAATAACTAGTCAATTTTCTGGAACCTTTACACTAAGAGATTGTAAGACAGCATAAAGGAAGCACTTACACTTACAAGACATTATCAAAATGTACCAATATCATGGACTAAAAAATGACATCTCAAGATTTAACATCTCCGTTTACAAATGTTCTTCTTTTACAAACTGTCAATTGCATTTGTTAATCCAGGAAGCATTATTAAGATTGAATTCAGGTTTAAGAGTGACCTATACGGAAAGCTAGATGGAGTTGTTATAAGCCATATACTGTATCCAATATCAGTAAATTTAAAGACTGAGTCAGAAAAAATCTGTTAGACCCAATAGGTAGTGCTAAGTGAATAATCTTGAGATATGCTGCCTAAAATTATTTCAAATTCCAGAATACCTGTTATGCCTGACCTGTATTGACCTTTTTCAAAACATTTTATAAGAAACTGCTCAACACAGTAAATAAGAAAACTCGATGAACTACCCTCATTTTTTGCGACAAAGGGGTAGGTGAATTGATATACGCTGAGCGAATTGGTCAAGTATTTCATCTAAGTTAAGTCAGTGGAGCACTGTTTTATTAACGTTGTCTGTTGTAAACGTGAGGCCTACATTCAAACCAAGGTGCAAACCATATTGGTTCAAAGTAGAGATATACAACTTGACAGGTACTCAGATATAACAGACTTAAAAAAATTTATATGTCTAAAGAAGGTAACAGTTTTACCTAAAATTTTTAACCTATGGTGATCGGTACTTTTGTTAAACCTTCAATGCTCACAGAAATCTGTTGGTTAGGTTCACAGTCTAGCTATTAATACCACTGATGTAATAATTTCTCACACTGTTTTGTTAAATTTTGATCGTCAGTAAAGGCTGTTTGTCAAATGATATTCATTTTAATGCTACGGAAACTATGAATAATTGAATAATGTGAAATATAACTCCACATCTATTTTCACAAGTTACACTTACCTATAATATTCTTCTGATGGGGATGTTGGATTTGTAATGTTGGTAAAATGCGCTGGAAAATTGAAAAAAATATTGTAACAAGGCCAGAATACTATGAAAACTAGAAATAAGACAAAAAAAACTAATAAAATTATAAACTGTAGTGAATCACAATGTAAATTACTCTGTTGGACTAGAAGTATATTCAGCACCTCATAAGCGTTAGAAGGATACACCTGGAGGTAATTTACGTCAAGAAATGAAAGTGCATGAAGAAATGAAGCAAAAACAGTAATGGACTGATGTTTTATTCACCTTTGGAATTATTCACACTATGTTTCTTTGGTTAGTTTGAGATAAAGCCTATACATTTATTCAGTTTGTGTCATATAATGCAGTAGCTGATAGCGTAAATGTCCAAATTAAATCTTTCTTGCTAAAAGGTCAGCATTTGGCACTTTATTAGAAATGAATCAAAATTTTCTTAACAAAGGGTCTCAAACTACCTCTTATTTAATTTGCAGTCTTCGTAAGCCTCCAGTGACCTAACAATTGATATCTTCCATCAAGACAACAGTTTTTCCATAGTTCCGTTTGCTAGTACGCTAAAAAATAAAGTACCGGTATTTGGATTCATTCACAGATAATGTGACATTCATCTACATGTTCCAAAGCTACGTGTGTATATTATCTCTTCATAAAAACGAGTGTCTGATAATGTAACAAGAGTGCTCTTAAAAACCTGAAAATAATTGTTAACAGAAATAAACATACCCACATTCAACTTAATGGTAAGCAGTTGAATATCTCTCTCGTTGTAAAAGTATGGATTGATACCAATAGGAGTGGCAAAACTTTGCAACAGTCAAGAAATAAGAAGTAGAAAAGAATAAAAACGAACGCCAAAAAGTTAGAAAACGATTCCAACATGCCTAGTATTCAGAGACAAAGAATTGTTTTTCGATATTAATATTAGTGTGTAACTTGAGCACTGTGTTAGATTGTAACTCCATATTGAATTTGTTTATTTGATTTATAACACACAGTGATATAGTATTATTTACTCGATGATGTTTCGAGCATAAATTATTGCTCATAATCATATCAATGTAATCACAGTGCTTTCGATATTTCATTTTTATAGTCAGAGAATATGAGGTGATAGAACTATAAAAACTAGATATCGAAAGCTGTGTGATTGAAATGATATAATATGAGCAATAAATTACAGTCGAAACGTCATCAAGTAAATAATACTGTATCCTTCTGTGTTAGAAATCAAATCAACAAATCTAATATGAAATTGCTTTATGATATGTGTTGATCATTTACGTGTTTATTTGCAGATCATTCTTGCCGGTAAACAGGACTCCATATTTAAATCGTGAGTGAAAAATCAAAAAACCGTTTGACTTCTCACTTTGTTAGTAGTGAAGATAAAGTAAAACTGTATCTGTAACATATCACTAGCTTCCGATCCCTGTATCATATAATCATACGTCCAGAGCGTCAAACTCCAGGATACCACACTGCCCTACACAACTCATTGCCACCAATTACTTAAGTAAATACAGAAGTCACTCCTTTGAGATACCGTTCATAGCTCTTTGTATCTTATTCAATGAAACTTCGTTAGTCATCGTATGTTACAGCAGGTAGTAGACTGATATCCTCAATATATTCAAGACCATTCTAGTGAATCCAAGTTCACTATATAGTCAGCTGAAAGCAATCTGAAAGAAGCTGGACATCCTATTTTCTTTGGTGTTAGATTAATTCCAAGTTGTTATTCATTGTAGACTGACATCAGTTGGAGGAACAAAGGGAACCTGGGAGCACTGGACAGCTGTTTCGTCCTAGTATGGGACTCCTCAGCAGTGCGCACCCATGACCCCACCAGTGGGGATCGAACCCGCGACCTTCAGGCTCCGCGACCAGCGCGTTACCATTGAGCCACTGGGTCAGAATCCAATGCTCCATATTTCCAACTTCTGTTAGCTCACGATATAGCGCAACCGCCACCCAATGTCATCGCTGAGTATTTGTCCTCATGGCCATCAGGCTTTGACTCCACCTTTGTTCCGCCTTTGTTCCTCCAACTGATGTCAGTCTACAATGAATAACAACTTGAAATAATTCCAAATCTCCACAACTCCCTCAAAATTTAATTGAACTGGTGCCCATTGGTGACTAGTTTCGAGAAATATTCCCGAAGTTCCAATGACAAGTCGTGACCGGTGGAGTCAAAGCCTGATGGCCATGAGGACAAATACTCAGCGATGACATTGGGTGGCGGTTGCGCTATATCGTGAGCTAACAGAAGTTGGAAATATGGAGCATTGGATTCTGACCCAGTGGCTCAATGGTAACGCGCTGGTCGCGGAGCCTGAAGGTCGCGGGTTCGATCCCCACTGGTGGGGTCATGGGTGCGCACTGCTGAGGAGTCCCATACTAGGACGAAACAGCTGTCCAGTGCTCCCAGGTTCCCTTTGTTCCTCCAACTGATGTCAGTCTACAATGATTAACAACTTGAAATAATTCCAAATCTCCACAACTCCCTCAAAATTTAAGTAAGATTAATTACCAAACGTGAACTATACAGCTCATATTTTTTCTTACTAGCACATTCATCAGCTTAATATGTTGCATTCAAATTATACTGAAACAGACATGTCAAAGTGTCAAATTAGTTACATTAAAGAACAGTCTAGCCACAACTAAGGCGGCTTGTAAGTACATCCAAATGCATATATATATATATATATATATATATATATATATATATATATATATGTAAAATATTAGATCTTTTGAAAAGAACTGATGTCAGTCCATGATGAATGCTACTTCTAAGCTATATATATGTTGGTTGCTCATAACTGATAACAAGTGTATACGATGTCAGCTTCATTTATTGTATTATATAAGTACTCAAATTTCAAACAAGGCTCGCGTGTAAAACTGGAGTACATTTACTTTACTGATACTTGTAATTTCCTGTTTCATTACTGGATAGAAATACCCGACAACTGCTAGCAGATGGACTCCTATGTGGATACCTCAAAACCACTCGGATATTCACAATGTTGTAGTATGCTTGGTGGCTAGCAGTGGAGTCCAGGAAGCATGTTTTGTCCTATTCAGAACTCTTCAACTGGATGTACCTGGACCCCAGTGAGTGATATTGTTCCCACTGACACTCAGACTCCGTATCCATCCCTTCAAATACAAAAACTTTATCTACTAGGTCAATGAGGTAAGCTGCCCACCTATTTCCAATAAGTATTAGCTGTTTTTTATAAATACTTGCAATTTCCTGTTGCCGTACAGTGTCGAATTGCCCTGTTGGCAGGTGGGCTCCTATGAGGATGCCTCTTCTTCTGGAATACATTTGACTTCTTATGACTTCATTCGTCTATGGAACTTACTATGCAGAAAGTACCGGTGTATATAATTCTTTTCAGAAGTACAAAAATGTCCCTCACCAGCTGTTTCACCGATGATTTTTTGCAAACTTGTTTGTAATTTATGCGTTTGAAAAAAACCTGATTCAATAACCTGTTTCCAGATTTATATAAACAAGTGTATATATTTATATAGAACTTCATTCAGCAAAAAAATTATGTTTTCACTCCGGGAAGCTGAAAATATTCCAGTTAAAACACTCACCGTTATGGTGGTCAACACATCGAGGACTGCTCCATGATGGATCACAATCTGTCCAAGGTAGTGTATTTGTAAAACTGACACAAAAGTAATAGAAGCAGTGTACCACTATAATTTGATAGTATACATTTACTAACCATGACAAAAGTACCATAGCATGACCAATACCTAAAATTAAAAGATAAATACTACATCAACAAAACTTTTGCACATTCCACAGTAATTTTCAATAATGACTTATGATTAAGATAATTCGAGTGATGTAAGTATAAACGAGCATTCAGAACAAAAATTTGATAAGCACTTAGTGAATAGACTTCTTGCAAGTCATTCTCCACCGAGATGAACATTAGTGGTAGACTCAAGCAACGAACCCGGGATTAAAGACAAAGAACGCAGGGATATAGTGCAAATTGGCTGGAACTGAGATTTGCCAACTCACGAACTATTTGACACATCAGCTGAGTAAACTAGACCTGACTAGCTTGAGTTTGATTCTCATAAAATCTTGAACATAAGTAATTTCATCCGGCGATGATCAAAATCATTTTCGATTAAAGTTAAGAAAGCTGTTGCTCAATTCTTCGACATTGAATCACAAGTAAAATTATTTTTCGATGATAAGCGAATTGTGCATGGAGAATAACTATGCTCATTACAATGATTCATCGTCCGGAGTAAGGTCTAGAATTCTGAAAAATCATCACAACGTTTCAGTGATTCCGATCACTGAAAGTTGTTACATCAATACATCAAACAAAAACATTTTCATCCAAGCAAGAAGAAAAAGATTTGCAAAATGATTTGAGTGGATGTCTTTTTATTGATTTCGTAACTTCGCCATAGCTCCAAACAACCTAGAATCATCAACAGAAAAACCACTTAGGGGTAAAATGAAAAACAAGCCTCCATGTTAGAGTAAAGCAAATGTCTATACTGGAAAATACAGTCGCAATAGTCAGTAAACTAGTTAAAGAATGTTAACAATACAGTTGATGGTGATAAATGTGTCTTATTTATGGGTAATTAGAACGAAGATCCCACAGTTTTAACAATAGATGTAAGAATCGTTTATAATATTATAGTGATCACTGCCTTAGTATAACCAGAGTTATTATGACTTTTCTTGGGTAGCCAAATGCCTCTGCCATAGTTACGTGCCTGGGAGCAATGTGAAGAAATTCTACACAGTGCAGTTAAATGGTCTTAGTGTTACCGCTTCTGGCCAATAAAACTGGAGATGGTGTGTACACTGGTGAATACTGGTCAAGCTGTAATACGAAACCATGGTGAGTCTCCACGTGGCGCTGTCGAATATCAACAAATCTACAGTCAGAATTGACTTAGCGATTAACGTGATGAACGAGATCCATGTGCGCAGATCAGTGGAGCTGGTTTTAAAACCAAAGATGCCCTAGCTAACCATCAGTATTCCACCTAGTACTCTGGGGGACGTAAAAATGAAAGGTAAGGGAATCCAGGTTCTTAATTTGGATAGTCATTGCTATCTAAGCAGTCCCTCGAAAGAGGTGGTGTGGTTAGTCTTGAGAAGACGGGCGATATTTGACCCACGGTGATGAGCTTCATTTGCCCTAGCCTTGGCAACAAGAATGGCCTGTTAAGAGATCCCGCATATGACATTTTGTTGAGAGTACTATAGTCTTGAGAAAGTGAGCTGCATCTCTTTTTCAAGAGTGTGTATAGTCGGTGAAACATATACCATACGCGACTGCTCATGGGGAGCTAAGTAAGGTTTAACGATCTGATTATCCGAAAAAGGTGGGTGTGCTAAAACCTGACAGCTGGAAAGGTTTCGAGGTTACAGTGATCCGTTTTGAGGAGCCACTAACAGAGTGTTCTGACAGGAGTGTTCCTTTTCGTGTTACTGCATTGCTACGATGCTTCCTACTCGGTGAGGGGACCGATCTCCCAAATGTTTGGATAAAAAGATTCCAAGAAGATGAGGTACAGCCCGTAACTGAGAACTGAGGCGAAAACTACACCAAAACTTCCCCTTACTATAACAATAATACAACACATTGATCAATCATAATTAATAAATGGATGGGACTCCTCAGCAGTAAGCACCCACGACCCGGCTAGGGGTCGATCTCATGACCTTTAGGTTTCACGGCGAACGCGTTAACTACTGAGCCACTGAGTCGAACGGAGTTCGATGTTTTACTGTTTCCAACTTCTGTCAATTCATGACTGAGCGTGACAATCACCCAAGGTCTTCAGTTGACATCCGCCTCCCTTCCGCCTGTTTCATCCATTCGCCATGAAGCCTGAAAGGCCTAACTCCCACTCTATCTGGGTGGTAGGTGCTTACTGCTGAGGAATCCCTTACTTGGAGGAAACGGCTGTCCAGTTCCCCCAGATTTTCAGTGGTTCCCCAACTGATGTCAGCCCGTGATGAGTACTACCTCTAAATTGAAAATCCATATTTACCTCAAAATAGTAGATGAGTGCTTTGATACGTGACGTACGCAAAAATGAGAATTAAAAAGAATCTGATGAAAAAAAGTGAAATGGGAGATGCAGTAGTTGAGATAAAAGCACACTTGTTGTTAAGGTAACGCTGACTTCTTTTATAGACAGAGAGGTCAGGATTCATTCCGTATTAATGCATTTGTTAAGTACCGCAAAACAGTATCATTTACTGGGTGGTACACTGAACAAAATTTTGTATGCTCTTGTGAAAAGTAAGTCCATACTTTTCACACCCCACTTTCGTGGTATGATTTCTTCTCCACTTTTCTTATGGATAAAACACTTTTCCATATATATATGGAATCGGTGTTAAATTGTTCCAATTACACGTGTTCGCCACTGATTCGATAAACAAAGCTTTAGCTATCAATCTGTCCCTTCGCTCTCATAAGGAATTTTTTCAGGGCTATTCAAAGGACTGACCAAATGTAGAATCGTAAATCCTAGTAAGTTCAGTAATCTATAGATAAACACAGCCAATTTGATACATGCTGAGTGAAATATCTGACGAACAAATTAACACGGAAGTATGTACCATTACAGTGCCCATTACATTTAAGTCAGATTCAAAGTATTCGACTGCTACTGAATTTGTGATGAAGTTTCTTTTTCAGCTTACAACTAACTGTAAAGGCTAAAGATATGTTTGCTCTGTGTCCTGAATTGACTAAATTGGTTGAGATGGAATTTGTGAGATATTTAAGTTCGTTCAACCACAGGTTCTTTAGAAAATATTCAGAAAAACGAACATAAACTTATTCTTATGTTTTTCCGATAGGCGTGATATCGACTAGATGCTTGCCCATTTTAGACTGATTCTTTGCCTAGCTTGTTCTATATAGGAAAATCAGTTTTCCTGCTGGAAAAGATGTTACAAGAGGCTCCTTTACCCTTCCGCATATCCTCCAATAAACAGTATCTCATTTATGCACTTACTAAACAAGCACCAGCTCCTTATCGATTGAACTTACTTTGTTTCTCTTCGTATGTACTTCTGAATACTTTTTGACAGGCTTTTCTAGATCACACTTATCTAACAGACGCGCCTTCGGAAGAGCTAACTCATCATCCACTTTATCGTCTAAGTAGAAGTTTTTGACTCTATAATAACTTCCTCAACAGTCTATGCGTGAAATTTAATGGGGAAAGCAGCTGCACTATAGATACTACCAAGTTTACGTATCTTTCCGGTAATGTTCCCCTCAACCATTCCGTCAGCTCATCTTTCAAACGGTAATTCAAGAAAATAAAGGTAGTTTTCATATTCCACTGTGAATTAGTGTTTAAATGTGAATTGATCAATATACGAAACAATTCTGAGGCATGACTGATATCTTTGCAGATAAAAAGAATGTTTTTTCCAGATAAGTCAAGCGAAATACACTATCCTCCATAGCCAGTTTCGTGTGTTTGATTCCAATTTTCACATGAACATTTCGGTAAGTATTGGACAAAATGACTACTCCATCAGCCTGTCGATTCAGTTTGCCATTGAAATGAAATCGAAGGCGTTACTTAGGAGAATCGATGTAAACCGTTTGAAATATGAGCTTCTGTGTATTATATGTTTCCTCAATTAGAATGCATAGGCATATTATTCCTATATAGTTAGGAAATAAAGTCTTCTACTGAACAATGCCAAAGTGATACACTGAGGATGTGTTACACTGGCCTAATCATTCGACTTTCAGGCAACCAGTTGAAGGCTCATATGTTTCTCACCTGTACTGGTAAGAGAGTAGCACCATGAGCTGTCACACGACACTTTTAGCTCATAACCTGTTACAATAACTTGTGCACCGGGTTGAGCCGCAAAGTGATACAGATGAGTTCGTTCTTTATCAGCTTCAAATTTTTGAACATTTTGTTAACTTTATTTATTAGTTCTTTTTCTCTGCGTATTCTTCGCATTTATTACAGTATCTTACAATTTTTCCGCAACTCCTGTTACTGCATTTTTAAAAGTTACGTTAATTTGCACTGCATGCCACTTTTCTTAGGTGTTATCTCCTATCGCACTTGCACAATATTATGAAAGGAGGTAACAAAATCCTATGAAAAATAAAGTAATAAAGGAAAGTGACAAAAAAAAACACAAGAATCATTTCGTTTAACTTTAATTATCATTTTATATTTACAAACTCTCGATGCTAAATTTTCCACATAATTTACAATTGTAAGCTCGTCGTATTTAATGAGATGTCGTAAGATTAAGAAAGCTGCTACATATACTAAACTTAGAGCAAGTTTTTCATGCTTTCAAGACATTCCGTCTCGACGATGTAAGTAAGAATAACTAAACTGCACATGTTTACGTGTTTCCATGCATTAGGTGAACATTCTTTGCTTGCTTTGTAGACCAATAATCAGTTCATTGTTACACAGTTATCGATCACTTGAATGAATACCGTTCCACTACATTATTTTAGATTGTAACGATGCAAGTAACACGCAGTTCTGTCCATCAGCTTACTGTATATGTTGTTTACAAGAGAAAGAATATCTTTTAAACCAAATTGCAGCTGCAAGATTGTCACAGGCAGAAAGCATGCTTCATATACAAAGTGTCACTGGCATATCATAGGTGTGGCTCATAACTTCATAGACACAGTTATCTGTGACTGCTGAGTTACATTATTATTATTGTTAAAAATTTTGTGAGTACATACCTTTAAACAAAGGACTAATATTCCACACGGATATAGGACCTAGGCTGGCGAATTGACCAAAAGCCAGTTCCAGAAAAAACAACGGTAATCCAAGGAATGTTAGCATACATGTATAGGGAATTAAGAATGCACCTACAATATCAAATAATGTACGTTTTAAAAAGAACTATTCATGTCACATAGGATTATAAAATCATTAAAAATTTGTATTAGATAATGACTGAAAATAAAGCCCTAATAATATGAACTAAAATGTTAAACACAACCTTTGGAAGTACATTGTAGGGTAATGATAAAAAAGAAGCATGTTTGACTCACCCGATCATTCATTCACTAATTTCCTGAGTAATAACATGGGAAAAATTTGTTTAACCTTCATGATATTTTTAAATGTACCTGTGTAGAGCCCACTATCAATGCAACCAGATAACCTAATGTATAGAATCGACCCACTGAATGCTTTAGTCATGTGATACGATCGTAAGGTATACCAAGGGAATATACTTCTAAAATAAGCAAAAATAACAGTGATACAGAACTATAACAAAAAGTGACGTTGAACAATACTTTGGCTTCTTGGAAATAGCCACTAACTAATCGAGATAGTATTATGATGAGAAAACTGACATAGGTCTCATCCTGAATGATGATGATGATGATCAGAGGTGAAAAAGAATGCATGGTTCTAAATTGTCAAAGAATAGCCTTGCAGAGAGATTCCTCGGAAAATAAAACCATGCAGATAACTTTAACGGAAAGAATAATGCCGACTAATAATAATGTGATTTTTGATAAGAAATTCTATCTTGAATTTTCCTCAAATCGAAAAACTTCTAAACATCATATTTACCGGAATCAACGGATGAACTAAAAAAAATAGTTGAGTAGCCCAATGATTTATCATGAAACTATAAAATTAGAAACTTAAAATATTCTAATCACTACACACCAGTGGAAAATGAGTTTATTTTGAACCATTTTGAGTCATTTTTATAATTTCTCTTTTTTGTTGTTACAACTAATATCACTTGGTTTTTAGTCGTAAAGGAAAAAAATATTCCTCACAAAGTTGCGTATTTGTATCTTAGTCCTTTGTTTATTAATTTACTATCTCATTATATCTGTATTATGGTTACTCATAAGTGAACCTTCAATCTTCCACATTAGTTTAAGACATATTTTTATATACTTAAGTAAAGAAAACCCCAGGTATGCTTATATACAAGACATAGGTATTATGCAGATAAACATGTATCATCTATTTTTGAAGACCAAGGGACCCTAAATGTTTACTATAAGTTAACCATTTTCATGATAATCAGTGCCTAGCACTGAACCATTCCTGTCTGTCAAGCCATCAGCGTGAAAATAATTACAGTAACCTGACTGTACGACGCATTCCATCTAGAGTTGAAGATCTTGAAATTACTCTAACCTACCTGATTCATTGCATCTATTGATGTGATTACGATTGTCTGACAAACCAGTAGCTTTCCCAAAGTTCCGGATTTTTCGCTGATGGCTGTCCACAAACAATAATGGAACGCAAAACTAGAGCTTTCTGATTGACTGTCTCCTACCAGACAGATAAAATGAAATAATGGCCTACCTGACGTTTTCATATGGTTATGATATAGGGCATGAACATCAAACATGATTGAAAGATTAGTCCAAAATTTCTGTAGATTTGATGAATAAGAAGGGATTAAACGTGTCAAAAGTTATGGAGGTTTCAAGCCTATCTGGTTTTCAGTTGGGTCTCTTGTTCTCAAGATTCAGTTGGGCATCGAAAAAACATGCCCCATAGTATCCTAGGAACATATTTTCTTACGGTTGTCATGGATGAACTTGTCTATTTTTCTTAAAGAGTAAAACGATAGACGATAAGGACATATTCAATGTGATGATCTCTGATCTATATACATAATCCTTCTCCTTGTCTTAGATCTTGAGCAGTATTTCTTAAATTAGGAAGCTGTGACGAACTCATTCTACACCTTATTCCCCCTTCAAATTGATGGTGGATAGATGAGGCGTGCTTTCAATCAAATTTGACCATTCTTCAAAGCATTTCACTCAAAAATTCAGGTGTATGTAGTGAAAATTTATTAGAGGTTCCTCCTCCGCAGCCTTATTTACATTAACCATTTTGTTCTACTTTTCAATGTCTCAGACAAAGGCAAATACTTTTCAAGTAAGATTTTACATCGATTCCTTCTGCTTCTACTCCGCTTTCACACCCATCACTTGTGGCAGTAATTTAAAAAACTCTCGGTTGGTCCACATTTAGGATATTTTGTTGCATAACCCTGTTTGGTACAATCCATAATTTACTTCTTTGTATTTATCAGTTCGATTGAGACTGTTAGGATGCACCAATGTTACTACTTTTTGGATACTGGTTACTAACTGTATTTACAGGTAGTTCTACAGCAAACTTAACATTGGGTCAAGTAAAATCATATTGAGTATTATTGGCATGCCCAAGGAACATTGCCGCTCATAACTGCACCTGGTCAAAGTAGATCAGCTTGCCTATTCTTTCATTTCAAACTCATCAACTAATCAATAACACGCACATTCATGTACTTAACTACTGTGTATGGACTTTCGAAATGCTCCTTGGTCGAGTAATAATGACATTTTCATATCACACATAAAATGGATCTAAAATGTAAATGTAGAAACAGACATTTTGCTTGTTTTCATTCATGTCAAGACATACAGAATGAGCCTTTTTTGCCAAGGATATGAATTTCTTTCTCAAATAACTTCCACTGCCACTGCTTCCTTGTATACTGACATATAAAAGTATTGATATCCGCCCCAAGAATTTACGTGTTTAGTTTAGTCGGCACTAAATTTAAACATACTTTTCTTGGTGAATAATTGCAATCCTCTCTTTTAAAATTGCAATCCCCTATTATCTCAGTTATTCTATTTGTCCTCCCATCCTTCGGTTTTATATAAATAATTCGTTTTAATTTCCTGCAATATAGTACGCCTGTTAAGCAGTAGTGTGAATAAAAGCGCCTTTTTTGTTAAGTTCATTCATTTGTAATTAATTCCGCTCATAAACACTTTTCTGAAACTTTATTTCGGGGGAACTGAGAGTGACATCTATCGAAAAAAATGAATTAAAACAATCTATCAGAGCTTCATTTATCTGAAAATTACTTGTGTAACAGATAACCAATAATCTTCATAGTGATCAAGTTGTTTACTTTAGACAAAAGGAGATGAACAAGAAAGGGAGTTAATCATTCATTTCAAACTGATTTATTTGGCGAAATTCTTCAGGCGATTTTCAAAACAGACTTCACTTGAATTTCATACAAGTTTGCTGCAGACAAGAATAACTCAGTAATTGTATAATGAGGTAAAAAGTACTAATCACTATCAGCTTCAAGTGTATTTTCCTTCTCTCAAAGCAGGAGAAATATTAGGTAATCCTACTTAAAACTTGAAATATAATGAATGAAGCTCTACACTGAGTGACAATTAAATGTATGATATCTCAAATGTCCGCACGTCAGTTTTACTATACACATCATTTTCTTAAGTTAACAAATTATTAGTTACTGAACATCTTAAAACCATGTCTTGTATTACTATTATTATTATCGTTATCACTAGAAAACGGAAAGCCATACTTGTGAAAATCATTTCAGGGAGAAATATGTTCTATGACAGTATAGATTAGCATGAATGCCTCACCAATAACAGTATAGTAATGGAAACTGTATGAATCTAATGGGGACAGACTTGGTTTTACAGGTTGTCAGTGGTAGTTATGTACCAGTTTTCTAAACGATAACTGGTGTGTTCTAGATTTCAGAAAGGGAAAATTCTGAAATCAACAAAATCTTTTTCTTATCTTAAGGTTTATTTAATGCAACCAAATTTTCAGTTGTGTTGACCAATCTATTCTTATGGGTTTGTTTTAAGTCTTGAGAAATTATTATTTATCAAACATGAGATGAAGAAGTAGATTTTCATTATGGATTCAAATACTCTTGGTGAATAAACAGTCTAGGATTTTGAATTAATTAGATAATTTAGACACAGGTACTGGTCAGATTGGAAACACAACTGTCGTTTTGATTGGCTTACAGAATGTCAGCTTCATAGCAGTCACCAACTATTTTGGTTTATCATCTTACAAATAAGCTACCTAATAGAACACCTGTTATAATACTCAATGCTTAACAAGGTTTACGCTTTATCATTTCATATCACAAAGTTGTGGATGTGCATACGCATTTTTATCAAGTCAGCTGACGGCTATTCTTCATTAGCTTCTTTTACATATCACATTAGCGATCCATGTTTTGGACAAAAATCTAGGCAATAAAATGCACTTTGCCACAACAAATCTTAACATTTCTGCAACAGAAAAGTTAACAAGAGTTTCAGCTCACCATTCATCAGCAGTACGTTTCAAAATCGTAAAATATAGAAAAAATATACTTATGAAAACTCTAAAATACTGCAATTGCGTAATATTCATCACGAACTGAAATCAACTGGAGAACCGCTGAAAACGTGGTGACACTGCTGATTCAGATGTGTAGCAGAGTCGTGGGTGCGCACCAATGAGGGATGCAATACTAGGACAGAAAAGGTACCCAGTGCTCTTAATTTTTCACTGGTTCTCTAACAGATATGTCCTTGATGAATGCTACTTTGAAATTAATAAATCCTAAAAAATCTCAAACTAAATTATGTAATAGTCACAGATGGAATAGATTAGTATTTTAACTTTAAAATGACAGTCGTAAATTTGTCAAAAGATTGTTTTAGTAACACTAAAAGTAATAGATCAATACCATACACCTAATGGATGCTAAAATTCAACAATATCGAGTGCCCTTTCTGACAAAAGACCTAATTGAAGTAAAAGCGAGGGTAAGACGTGGATCACTTCATACAAGCTATGAATCTGTACTGATGCAAGGTTGGAAATTTATATTTTTATCACACCATGAGGCTAGAATTAGGAATCATATTGTCGAAGTTATTAACACCAAATGTTCACTTGTTTTTCTTTAGATGTAATTTGAAATGCTGAATATTTAAATATACACCACCTGTCAGGTTGCTAATCTATTCAACTGTCAATTAAAAGATATTCGGTTACCAAATCACAGATCGTCGGAAAATATACTGAATAGTTTATATAATATACACAGGCTTCCAAAAAAGGAAGTGCTGTAGCCAATTTGTCGACTTAATGCAATCACAACCTTCAGCCAAGAGATCTAGTTTGCGAAAATATGGATCCTAACACCACCCGGTCAATTAGTATCTAAGTTGCCGGAAAAAACTATAAAAAGAGTTTTCAGGATTTATTACTCCAGTCTAATTTAAATCTTTCAACTAATCATTAAGAGATACATAACTAATCATTCCTTTTTTTATTAACACATCCCCTTTTCGATATGTATATATATATATATATATATATATATATATATCGTGCAATAACCAAAATAGCAGAGAACGATTCCGATTGCTAAGATATCTTATGCAGACTTGTCTAGTAAATTTATCTCCATACTGCGAAATGTCAGCTGAAGCTTGAACAAAAAATAACTCTTTCGGGGATTTTTGTGGGGGTTGATTTCAAGTCAGTATTCATCGTGGGCTGACATCAGTAAGAGAAACATTGAGAACCCCAAAATTGCATCTGTTGCTCGTTGGTGAGTGGCTTCGAAAGGTCATTCCTGAAGTCCAAATGAGAAGTCGTTACCGTTGAGGCAAACTGAATAGAGTTAACGACAAAAACTCAATAATGACATTGCGTGGAGGTTTCGCTATATTGACAACTGATAGAAGTAGGTAAAATGGACCATTGGATTCTAATCCAGCTGCTCATTGATGACTTTCTGGACACGGAACGTGGACATCCTGGGTTTGGTTCCCTGAAGGTTCATCGGTGTGCACTGCTGAGGAACCCCAATACCAGGTTAAAACGGCTGTCCAGTGCTCCCAGGCATCCAATGCTTCTCCAACAGATGCCAGTCCATGAAGAATACCAACTTGAAAAACAGAACTGTTTGCCTAGACAGACAAGCCGAAAGAAAAGATCAACTTAGAACCCATAAAAAATGCATCCAAGTTGCCACACTTGACAGCTGCACACAAAACCAAGGGGTCCGAAAATGAATGATATCAAAGTAAGCAAAGGTATAACGGAGAAGAAAGCCAGACAAGTAGTCTACAGCTTTACTAACTGACTAGCCTGTCTTACTTAGTACCCTTTACTTGACTTCGACACTACCGATATGATTATTTTACCATAAACTAGCAATGCTGTGAAGAAATCTGTCCGCTGAAACCTAGATTTTCACATAAATTCCGCAAACACGCCCACACAAGGTGATCAGTTTGCCAAGCGATCTGATTAATCGTTGGAGCATCTGTGTAGACAAGAGTGTGTTACAATGAAACTAGTCATGAGTCAAATAAGCCATCAAACACAGAACTACTGATTCGGACAGAATATGAAAGCAGAAGTCTTATATGAGTGCCTCAAAAGCACGTGAACCTCAAGCTTATATGATAAAACATCTGAAATTTAATTTTTGAATCAAAGCAAACAATTTTTTGACACAAATTCCCTTATTTCATAACACAACTTGATAAACGGCATACGGTTGATGCCTGTTTTTAACTGCTTATCACTTTTAAAAGTATCCTTTTTCTAAACACCTAGAGCTTAGTAATAATTTTTTAACATCGACTAGGAAAGCCTTTAATAAACGATATACTTTGAACTCGGTCATTATGATGATGAACGCATAAATAATCACAGTTAAGGAGTTTTACTTAGATTTAACATAGGCCATAAGCATAGCAACCACATCCTGTGATAAGCGCTTTCAACATAAGCCTTTCTCGTATGGTACTGATTTTTAAACTCACTAAATAGTGAATTTAGGTGATATTTGTTTGTTACTCAGTATATAACCCCTACTTGACATTACTTGTTTTTTGGTTTAGTTTGCCCGCAATGTTCGTTTACTTATATAAACTCGACTGTATTCTCAATGCAAAGACTAATGTGAAAGTAAAACTTTCCAAACTATGTGTAACAAAATTTATGCAAATAGAAGATAAAACTAACAAATGATGATGACAAAGGAAAATTTACTCACCCCCACCATTTTTAAAACATAAATAAGGAAATCTCCAAACATTTCCCAGACCCACAGCATAACCAATACATGTCATCAAAAATTCGACTTTCTTATCCCATCCACGTCGTTCATTCGTATTCGAGTAAATGATGACCACTTCATCATTATTTGCTGGTGTATCTTTGATTGGAATTGCTTCCTACAGAATAAAAATGAAGTCAGTTGCAAACTAAAATATGCTCTGATCAACAGAATAAATGGACCACTTCGTGAGTAACACCTGTATTGAAGTAAAAGTACTCATCAGATGATAGTTAGAATAAAATAAATAAGTCATTCCCAGTGAGTTTCAATGATTTCGAGTTCACATTTCCATCTCTTTAAGACGGATTTCAAAATGTGCTAAACAAAATTTCATTGTACAACTGATGGAAAACCAACTGAAAGCTCCAAAAGTGTTCCGGTAAACTGAGAACAAAGACATTTGTAGAATAAAAGGCTTGTTGTCCTCTGTAAATAGTCTTAAATTACAAGTGCAATCCCCAGATATCTAATGGTTATGAGATATTCATTTGAGGTCTGTCACACCTTCAAAGTTACCGATCTACATAGAATAACCAGTTAACTTCATTTCTTGGAAATGTTAGCAATTAGACAATTATAACCTCACTCCTGTATACAAAATGATAGTGTAAACAACTTCACATTACTTTGATGACGTGCTGTGACTTTGTTGGGTGATCTGAGTTTCCCTTATCGTATTTACTCACTGATTTCAATCCATTCTTAGCCTCTTAATACACGAGCTTCTTCGGTAACTACTTCCTTTCTCCTGACGCCAGAACCACTATTTAACCAATATGTAAATATAAACCTCACTGGACTATTCGGTTTTCGTAGCTTAGTTGGTCGATCACTAGGCCGGGTTCTCCGCAGATAACTAGTTCTAATGCTGCTGCGGCCCGGATTTCCATTTCGCCTTTAATCATCACTTATATCAATAAGTAACCCAAATTACGACTGTCTCAAATAGTTAAACTGAAAATGAATTTTTATTTCCTACGTTAACTTTTGTGAATATAGGCTGTTGATAGTTCATATCGAACCATAAAATGTGTACCTTTTTATTCTGCAAGCACCTTTTTTCTTGCTTTGTGCAAATGTAACAATGGAATTAAATGTATGATGTCTCATAGGATTTAACTCATTTGATGTAAAGCATAGAGTAAATACTGTATTTCCTTTCGTGTTGAATACTGAATCATCTAAGAAATTCAGCATTAACTCAACTATCTGAGAATTAAAAAAGTTACTAAAATTAGAGTCATAAAACTAGAAATTTACATGCGGTAAAATCTTATATATTTCCCTCATTTTCTATTGACTTTAGGCTTTTGATACAAAGAATTGGCATTTGAAGTAACATACTAATTAAACTTTAACAAAAATGTATACTCGCTTCTCTTTTTGTTCTCCGAATTATTCAGCTAGTGTATTCCATATTACTGATGTACATTTTCAAACTCTACTATTATTCACTCATCATAAAAGTTTTTTTGCCTTATAGTTATTGTATGCACGCTACATGTTTATGACTCAGATGGTTTATGCTTTTATTCAAATCAGCTGACATTACAAGGAACTTTAAGGAGTCGAGTATGTTGTTATGATTCAGCGCAAATTTATCACTTCATTCCTTAAAACATGTATTTGATACCATAAAAATTATATAATTCATGTTTAACTATGTAATATTCGCTTTTTCTGGAAGAATATTGACCTTTAGACATTTAAAAGATTCAATCTTTTCAATTTACTAAATGATATCGGGTGAAATCTGCCCAAACAGGCGTATTTATTGTAACCAAACAAAAAAATGTATGAAGTTATGTTGTCATACAGTAAAATTTGTAATAACTTTTACTTCTTATCTAAAATAAACTGAATATATTCACATGACAGTCTAACTTACCAACTCTCCTGCAGAATTCATATCACTGGTGCAAAGACCTATAATACTACACTAGTTTTATAATCCAGAATTTAACGAAACAAACAAGTTTTACTAAACTGAACTGAAGCAACTTCGTAGCAGTGGGATAAGAAATCGAAACAGCTTTATTTTAACCTTGCTTTATGAAGGTCAAACAGAAAGCCTAAACACCTACGCAGATGAAGTCAACCCATTGGTGGGTTTCACTGCTTTATATAACCAACCAATTGTAGGTAAATTAATATTGCTGGATAACCTTGCAGCTAAGCCTGATAAGTGAGTTGAAGCATATCTAAATTTGTGAAGATAATACCTTTAGTATTCCCATTATTGCATGTTGTGTTTGATTTAAAAAGATGAACTGAACAGGTAGTAGTAATAGTTGGTATTTTGTTATTCACTCATTAATGGCATCAAACAGTAAAAAAAAAATTAAAGAAATTGATTAAATTAATTACCTATAGGATCGTTTCAAACAGTCTGTTCAGCATAAGAAGTTTATTTCTTTTAGAATAGTCGTTATAAATCAGTTGGTCAGCGTCAGCATGAAACATAACTATGCAATGTAGTGGTTCGCATTGCCATGCCTCAGATCAATGCACAAAGATGAAAGCCATCAAGGCGAAAGTCAATGTTTTTCAGAAGCAGCAGAAATTTTTACGAAGAGGGATGAACGAAATAACGCAACAGTATGTGGAAGTTAGGACGAAGATAATGTATCAAACTTTGTACACCGCCGTTCTCAAACACCCACCTTGTTTGTCGCGTGGGCCATACCAAAGTAGGCTACATTACTCTAAAATGTCTTCAGTTGTAATCACATCAAGAATAAAAATAACTTTCCATTCTTTACTTCCTAACAAATCAACCACTGATTTGCTGTAAGATAAGGAAATAAGGATTGATGTATGTTTGCCTGAAGTTTGACTTTATTCTGTTTAACTTTTCATAAATAGTTTTGTCAGTAACAAAATTTGAGTCAACTGATTGTTCTGTGGTATGTGAATGATTCATTCAGAACAAAACAGTACCCCGTGAAGACGTAAATCACTTCAAGTCCATGAAAAAAACCTTGAGATGCCTTGGTGATTATTTTCTGAACTACAGGTGAAAGTAACAGTAGCCTTCATTTGTGGGTGTTTTTATGATAGCCCAAGTTTTAGACGCGTAATTTGCGGTATAAAGAGCAATAATGCTACTGAGATTATAATGTAATGTGCTGCTGGAGTGGTCTGTTCACCAGACGGCCTACTTTCTAGTTTGATACCCAGCTCATTAGCGATATACCCTTACCGATTCAGCTAGCGCAGATGATTTTTTCGCACCAAATGATCCGGCTAGCGAAATAAGCATACCAGCATGACAGGTTTCTGACCACTTACGTTATTAAATGTTATGTTTCTATTGTTCACGACATATTTCTGTTGGATTTCACATCTTATGTTCTTGGCTGGGTGATTCCCAATGCAAACTATGTTGATGCCAAAGTTGCGTAGTTGAAAAACTACTCAGATATGAGAAGTATCAACGTGGAGCGTGCAGCATGCCATTTAGTTACACACTGAGCTTCTACTTTTCTTATCACATGACAATATTTATTTAGAATGAAAAACACCAACGCCAATGAAAAACAACCTGCAAAAACGTCAAGAAATTTACCAAGCGAACTTAAGATGAAAGTTTCCTTCAACGTCTCAACAGTGCTATCGAAGTAAATTATGCTCTCAAACTAAGTAACGAAATTATGGAATACAATGAAGCCCATATTCTCCTGTAGACAATTTACTCATCAACGCGTTTAGGACAGAATCTTATCTTCAGTCACTTTGATGTTCACCTTTCAGTTTACTTGTTCCATTGGAGCAACGTGCACCGATAGCACATAACGTCAAGTTCGTAAATGCATTTTTAGACATTGTCTAGCTTGTTTATTCAAAAGGTGGAAAAAACAGAACAATAGCTACATTCTTTAAGACTTATTCAAATCTGGACATCTGCCACTAGTAACTCCTTCAAAATAATTTGCAGAGCGCCTTTCGTCTACGCCATCTATGAATACTGGGATCATTAGCAATTCAAAAGTTCACGCATGATCATGGTATTCAAAAACAGTACTTGAGCTTAACAGCTTTATCATGGCCAGATTAGTACTTACCTCCTGTCTTTAGTAACGACCGTTTAATGTAGTAGTAATCATGTAACTGTACCGGTCAATTACAGACCGTTATTTGTTTCCAGTGATTTTAAATCTAAATGTACAGTTTCAGTGTTAAACAAAGGTTGTAACTACATAAACGGCTCTAAATCATCAATACTACTTATATTTCTGATCGCTGAGTGCAGGTGAGTACAACAACAAAAATCTATTGTAAAAGATAGCTTGGGCACCTGGTTGATAATGTTGTACTAGTTTGTCTGCTACATGCAGCACACAGTGAGACAATATCATTCACTGGATAATGTTGAAATGATGAGCGATAAACTGCACTGTTAACATTATCCAGCAAATGATGTATCTGACAGGAATAACCTGGGTGCTTAGACATTATCTGAACTAGAATCTACAATTTCCGTTCCAATTACTTATTCAACAGTATGTACGGTCTTACACTGGATGATAGGTAATCAGTAGTTTCAGCATGATTACACCTTCCACGTATAACTGGATAATTGTTAGCTGATAAGGAAATCATCAACATTGAATTTTGTTTACTACATTTTGTGTCTAAAGTATTAATCTGGTTTAAAGGATTATGATTCTAGACTGCTGAAAGTAATATGTTTATAACTGTCACCACTTATTTGAATTATATCGACAAGAGTGATACAATGAATTTATTCGATGTCTATCCAATTTGTACATATCTGACACTTTATCAGTCGAAGTTTTCCGCTGAAGAAACACAAAAACTGGCAACTATCTAACCTACGTATATACTATGACTCCGTTTGCACAAACATCATTGAACTGCACTATATGCCTAACCGAATAATGGTCAGTTTTCAGTCCAACTTGGTTGGAAAAATGAATTTGAATTGAAGACGTTGGAAACTAAATCAGTCTTCCCAGAACCTCGATTCTCAGCTAAACCGTCAGTTGAGATATAAATTTCAATTAAATGCCAACGTCACCCTAAAGTTATTCCCGAAACAACTAGTGTTACTGGAATAAAATCGAGTTTAAACTTACAGATGTGTCATGTAGTTTTTCTCGAAATAGTAACTCTGCAACCAGTTGTCTGAGCTCACGTTTTTCCGTAATCCCAATCTACTGTTACTATAGTGTGAAAGTTTTGAAAATTTATCGGAAAAAAATATTGGCTAACCTACGCTTAGCACTGTCGATACGAGTGTTTTCAGAGGCAAAAGGGTTCATGCTTTTGCAGAGTCCTCTTAAAATATTATATATATAAATCCCACTCCTCTCAGTTTGACACACACGACTAAAAAGCATTATCATGTGTGCACATCCATCTCTGTCAATTTATGGAGTCGGTTTAGTTACAACTGAGGTGGGTTTCCGCAGACGATATTAAATTATGGTTACGCCATGTTGCATATTTACAGGAGTAGGAAATTATGTTTTACTGGATTCCGACCCAGTGGCTAATTGGTAACACACTCAACTTAATCTTTCTGGGATTGAGCATTGACAAGGACATAGGTGAAGAGTCCTAAACCAAGGAGAATAAGCCATCCAATCCTCTCAGGTCTTCAATGATTTTCTAACTGATATTGATTAGATATAAAAACTGCTTTCAATCAAACGAATCCCTGAAAACCATCAACTGGATATACATGTGTAGCTTACATTACCTTCGGAAAAATGACTTGGCAATGCAGAACTATGCAACATAATATTCTAACGAAGTTTGTTCATCGACGGGAATGGAAATATATGTCACGCATAAAACTGAGTCACGAAAGACCAGCTGCCATTTTTATGGTAGTTGCTGTTGAGTATGTTTAGTCTGTATGATAAAACTGAATCACATTAAATAAGTCTAGTTGCTAGCTACATGCATAAATACTTTGAAGTAACCACGTTCATATCGTCTGCTTCTTAGTACTATCGATAACTTCACAAAAGCTGTCACTAAGCTAGAGAGCTTATCATTGGATAGCTTTTTGATTCGTGTCTTGCATCATCATCATCATTATCAACATAGGACCAGGCATTACTGCGTAACGGTTCGAGTTGCCACACCTCATATCAGCACATCAAGTAAAAAGGTAGTGAGGTGAAGGATGAAGATAAGTGAATGCAGTCAAAAGAAATATAAAGTACCAAAAGAAAAGAAAGAGGAGTGACAAAATGGTGAGATTCGGTATAGCGTTGTTAAGATGAGGATAATGTGTGTATACATCTGCGCCACTGACTTCGATTCTGAGCCATATCACCTAGGGTCTCCAACCACTGGTTCCTCTTGTCCCGCGGACCCCAACCAACTAGTCTGCATCGTCCTACATGCTTAAACCGACAGTCAGAGACTTCATACATTGGTGCCATGTTTTAGTATGGCCACCTCGGGCCTTTTTCCAGCCTGGACCCACCTCAGTCAACATTGTGTGACGAGGCAATCGGTGACTAGGCATACGTAGTACGTGTCCCAACCATCTCAGTCCATGAAGGTTCACAACCTCGTGTCTTGCAGTTGGAAGCAAGACGTTCTGCAACTAAGTTTTCTCTTTGTTGGTCTGTCGCATCCGAATAGCTCAATATCACAGCTACATCACTATGTAACGTGTGTTAGAATTTGTTAGAGGATGTCTATTCCTTTGAGTTTGCAGACGGATCTTGCTGACCAGTGACAACAGCCAAGGAATACAAATATTTCACCGTCAAGTTCATTTGATGTAACGTGCATAAACTTTCCACTTCTTTCAGCAGACAAAATAAGCATGTCAAAAAAAGCTTTTTTTTGAAAGGAACTTTGATGGTGGAGACTTTGAAATGTTTTTAATAACAATCGGTGAAATTAATCGTGGATATATATATT